GGTACTGCATGATGGCAGAGAGAGTTGACTGCCTTCTCGCTGAAAGATGGTAAAAGTTGTTTTTGTTTTTTTTTTTAAACAACTGTTATAATGGCTTACATTTTTTTTTTTTTGAAACAGACATATTATGCAAACATTTCTCTCCATTTCCCAGTGAAATGCCTTTTCTGTCTCATCCAACTGCTCACTGTGTGTTCTACTATATCAGTAACAGTCACCTTCAGGGAGCAGGGAGCATCTTTTTTCCACCTTGCCAAGAACTGACTTGTTGAAATAAGCATGTCACCAAATCACAGAAAGCTAGAAAGCAGGGATCTGAGTGATCACCAATTCAGTGCCTTCCCTGTGCACATGGCGCCAAGATAAATAAAGAAGTAAAAGAACAGGGAAGTTAACAGATTTGCTCAAGATGTCACAGCTATTTTGGGACAGAGCCAGAGCTGGAACTCAAATTACTGGAGACCTGCACTTGAGGACTCTGTGCATTATGTCTTGATGGTGACTATTCATAAACTATGATGCACATATGTGGAGTGGATCCTTAAATATAAGTGCCATTTCATAAGGTATACCTGTAAAACTAGGCAACTCAGCTGTCTCATGTTTGGTCAGCTGTCTTTTGTTGACAACAATTTTACTTTGTGTGTGCTCTAGGAACAAGTTAGAAGATAACAGCAACAATGGTATATATCGTACTCTGTTTTCTTGTAATGCTCGTGCTGGTTTGGGGATCAGTGTTATTTCAGAATGGGCAAGTCTCAGAAGATAATCCACTAAACTTAGAAAAATGACATAGTACATGCTGTTTTGGATGACAACAAAATGTGTATTTTCTGATTACTACCTAAAAAACTACCTAAATTCAAGAAACATGACATTTAGACATCTCAGACTATCAGAGACAAAGTTGACTAAAATTTTCTAGAACTTTCTCTTAGAGAGGCAGAGTCATGTGAGCAAGAAAAAGGGATTCTTCTCTTTTTTTTTGGCCATGCAGCACAGCATACGCATATGGAATCTCAGTTCCCCGACCAGGGATCGAACCTGTGCCCCCCGCAGTGGAAGCGCAGAGCCTTAACCACTGGACCACCAGGGAAGTCCCAAGAAAAAGGGATTCTTGATGTCCTTCTACTTGTCTAAAACGGGCAGATGCTCCTGGACTCTTATAGGAAAGAAAAGTCTATGGAAGGTGATAGCTCATTTTCCCTGTCCAGTGGCGGACAAGATATATCTGAGAGAACATTTTCATCCCCAGTTATCATTATACGGATTTACATTTACAAGTAATGTAATACCTTTGGACAGGAGGAAATTGTGGCCAGTGAACCAAAGATTCAGAAAGAACCAATTCCATCTGGATGATAATCGCTCTTCTTAAAACACCCTCTCTGGTCCTATACTTTGCCCTTCACTGAAAGCTTAATTATCAAATCCAAAGTCCTTAGCAGAATCCCACAATTAGGTAAGACTCAACCCTTAATAACCACTCAGTGAGATGTGAAGGTCTTCACTTAAAGTTCTGCGTAGAAGGGAAATGTGTATGACAACTATGCTCAGCCCCTTAAAGTGCTACAGAACTACAGAGATGGTATGTTCTTGTGTTTCCACAGGCAGGGCAACCAAAAAAGGTTTTAAATGATCTGAGGCCATAAGTACCACATTCAACCCCCCTTCTCCCACTACTTCTATGAACTGCAGTCTACAGCATATAAATGGTAATTGCTCAAATATCTCATTCCAGGGTATGTTCAGCCCGAGCTTGTAGTTATCTTTCCTTATGAAAACAGTTTTTCAGAGCGAGGGTAATTTGAAACGAGCTACACAGGGAAAATTTTCCCTGAAGTATACTCCCTTCAATGCACATGGGTGGTCAGAGTATTACTTCAATGTCTTCTGCATTAGCTGTACAGGTCAGATGATTAAATCTCCAATTAATTAGGTCCTCTAGTGGCCTGTGTGAAATAAATTAGTGATCTCCATCCAGTCCACTTAGACAAAACCCATCGTGACAGCTGGCACATTTTTGGCACTGTCAGCAGAGTGGGTAAAAAGTAAATGACCCATGTGGACAAAATGGGCATCTAACGATGGGTGTGGATGAAAAGTGCAAAGTATTTTCCATCCACTGCAGAGCAGAGAGCTTGAGTATCTGCCAATGTGATTTGCAAGAAAAAGTGACCTTAAAATGAGCACGAAGCCCATCAACTATGGAATGAAACTCTTCACATTCATCTAGTTAACTGTTCACAACGTTCATAATCTAGAAATGTCAGTTTACCACTGGAATATCCTATAAGGATATATAAAAATATTCTATTTTAAGGTTATGTTTAGACTATTTTTTCATTATCCAAAATACCTTTGAGTTTTTCTCATGAAACATTTCCAAAATTGCTAAACAGTCTTAAAAAAATAAGGTTTAAGTACTTTACTAGAATTATAAATTTTCATACAAATGTACTTATATATGACAGATATTCACAAAGAAAGTCAAGATTACATTAAAATTTTCAAATGTATTTGTTTTATGTGGGAGCTAGTTGGAATAAAAGCAGATGAGATGGGAGGACCCCAGTCAGCTGGGAGGCAGGAAAACATAAATCCATGTGAATGGCTATGTAAAGTGATATTTTCCTCCAACTTCTTGTTAATTCCTTCCTCAAATGCATAAAGATTAAGTCAAGCCAAATGACTGCCACTGTTTCCTTTTAAGGGGTTTGTTCAGGGAACTCAGAAGGCGAAAACACCTAAAAAGTTTCGAATAACTTTTACTTGATTGCATCTTTGTAATACGTTTTCTACATAATAGCATTAGTTATAAACTACATGAATAAGCAAAGATTAAAATTTTAAAAGAAGACCAGCAAATCTGATTTAGCTTCCTATATGAATGGCCCACAAAATTACTCAACAATCTTCAGACCTTTTATCTAAATGTATGTGAACATATACATGTATATCCACATATGTACATATTACAGTATGTATAAACAAAGTCTCCAAGGTCCCTTTCAGCTCCGAAATCTGACTTCTAACTCCTAACTGCTCTTTTTTTCCCTAAAGTCTTATTCTTACCTAACAGATTTTACTCCTCTCTTTACCTTTACAAATATTTAGAATTCATTTCTTTTAAAACCCATTCATACAGTTCAATTATCTATAGTTCACAGACTATGATTTCTACTCTCACTGATTGGGCTTCCTGTCCCTCATGAGTTGGAACTGGCTTTCACGCTTTAGAACTGGTGCCTATGAGCCCATCTGGGAATAAATGACCTTATCTGGGGTTATGTGGCCTGAACTGTGGTGGTGTCTCTGTGGGGTGAGTCCTTACATGGCTGTCTGTTCCACACTCCATGGGATTCACCGTTTCTGACCAGCTTTTATGTTAGCTTCTGGGTTCTAAGTATCGCACTGCAGAAATAGTGCTAGAATTCTTACCTTGTTCAGAAAGCTGATCTAGCTCCTCCTATTTTATATAGGTCTGGGTCCTGCGGGAGAGTTAAAACTTCAGCCCTAAATCATATAGTCCATTTGGTTATTATCTTGGTTTATAAGATTACAAATTATCTCTTATCTGAGGCTCTCTTTCTGTTTTGAGCACCTGGAAATTTCTTTCATGTTTGTAAACCTAACCTCACATTTAATTTTATTTTCAAATATTTTATCAACATGTCTATATGCTTACAGGGGGATGGAGAATTTCCTATATGAACACAGTTTGTCATAATGGCCAGAAATGTAGCTCAAATTTGACTTGTTTGTTTTTAAGCAGCATTCTGTTACATGCAATTAAAAGATCTATATCCAGTTGGTCAATATTTCCCCTAAGACTTAGTAAGATTTTATAGTACTTAAAGCACATTGTAGGATGTATATGTAAATATTCTTTTCTAGACTTCTCAGATTGACTGATTAATTTTGGTACTAAATAGATCTAAAAGAAAATATTTTTGATTATATAAAACATACAGAGAAACATACATGCCTCAAAGCGGGGGTGGGGGGATGGAATGGAGGAGAAATGTTCTCACTCTATATATGTTCCTCTAAGATTATTCAATTATGATCTCTTCTTTCTAATTCCCTTCATCTGAAGAAAAGCTATTTTACTAAGTTGTGGAATCAAGCAAAGCAAAGTTCAAAGCAATACAAAACAGACAAATGCAAGTGTGTATGAGAAAGAAACAAAGGCACAGAGGGTTAGTCGGGAAATGTCAACTATGACGCAAGCCAAATTAGGCAATATTCTTATCTCTATACAAAAGATTGAATTATATATATAATACAACAGAGCATTATTAGTCACTAGCCATTATTCTCTAGCACTGTCATTCTAAAGGAAGTCTTGGAAGTAGACACACCGTACTACAGATTTAGCAAGTCATCCCATGCTTTGGGCACAATGCATAAGCCACATAGCTGGAAACACAGAAGGGGACACACTGTTTCCAATCACTTTGCATCAACAGATGTTAGCTCAAGAAATATAAAAGACTGAAACAAAACACTTTTTTTGGACATAAAGAAGAAAGGTGCCTTTCTTGTTCTTGATTCCTCTGCTTAATAAGAACTCATCTTTAGGTAGTAGATATTCCTTTAATTTTGCAAACACCAATGTCAGCTTTGGTAATTTCCAAAAAGTAGTTGCTGACCTAGATATGAAAAATCCACACACAAGTGAAGCTAACATGCAAAACAGTAGCATACCCTGCTTCCTATCAAGGCTCTTTACCAAAAATCAAAATGGTATCTGGCATTTGAAATCAGCACTTCTTTGAGACTTTCTTTCCTCTCCCCAACTAGCATTTCTTAAGTCCTAGGAGAGAAGGCACCCTCCGTCTAGTTAAATAAAGTTTGACCCTAATCAGTATTTTACTTCAATTCATTTCCCATTTAAGTGTCATGACAACTGTAGTCTTTTCAATGATTCTACAAAAGAACACCTGAGATACAGAATTTCAACTACACAAGCAGCAGCCTTGCACTTGAATACTTACCTCGTAAAACTGTGAGTCTGGTGGATACACTTATTTCTCCCACGTTATTCGAGGCCACACATTCATAAATTGCCTCATCTCGCGGAGTCCGTAAGGGTTGTATTCTGAGAACTGATCCAGATCCATCGTCAAACTCTATTACCTATTAGAGGAAACAATAGCTGTCACAGGTGTTGTTACTATCATCTGCCTCTCAGCTAAATCTCTCAAGGCAGTGGTGAACCAGCCATTAGGCCCAGAATAAACTCAGAAGCATTTTGAGACTGAATTTTGATGCAGTGATGAAACAGAATAATTGCTCTAATGTACTGAATCCTATACCGCAGAATGGAAAGACGTGAAACTACATGTGCAAAAACGTAGATTTCTTGTTTCTACAGTAAACCATCCAGGGTTTAATCATGAAAATATTCCAGTATATGTATCTAGGGCAATGTGACCTTTTTATTAATTTTGCAAGAGACTTGCTGCTATGATGCATACACTTCTTAAATTATTCTGTCTCTGATAGCACATATGCACATGTGGATCCATTCAGTAATTGGACGATAAGGTGAAGAAATAATGTATGCCACCACTGATAGCTCTTCTGGTTTAAAATGTCTCATCCTGAACAGTATAGATGAGCAAACCATGAAGAGAAACTGCATAAATCTAGTACTTAGGCAGCCAATGAGATGGCTTTCATAGCCCCAGAGACTGATGGCATGCATTAATTTTGCCATAAAGCATTCCAGTATTTGTTTTAGCTTAGCATTTTCTGCATTTTTAGGGCATTCTTGCTGTAAAATGGAGGCTTGCTTCACCAGGTAGAAAATTAATGTCCTAAACAGTAAGCCTGAATTCTCTATCATTATGGACTCTACTCTGAAACAGTTAGGTATTTGTCACCTACTCCAGTAATACTTCTAAAAAATGATGTTGACAATATTGATAAATATGCATACAAAACTGTAGAGTCCTCTACCTGTCTTTTCTATAACTCTGCTGTGTTTTATCAGCTGTTCACTGAGATGGTGGTTTTTTATTTTTGCATTTCCCTATGAATAATATATCCATGTGCTTAAATTGTGAATAAATTAAGAATGCTTTATAAATATATTTACAAGATGATCAATCCCAGATTTTGTAATATAAGTGTCAACATACGGAAAAAAGAGATTGAATGTTTTTAAGATACGGCCACTTCAAGTCCTTTCTGCATCCCATGTACATTCTAAATTCACAGAGATAGTCAAAACATCCCATTTCTCAATGCACCACAATTTATTTTCAACTCTATTAAAAATATCACACACTTTAGAATGAATCTAGTATGCATCGTGGGAGAATAAAGTTCCATAGCTACTGGAATCTTTGTCAAATATGCTATAATTAATATATATATATATATATATTTGAGCATCCTATAGCTTAATGGAGAGAAAGGTTTAAACATCTTTAATACTAATTTAAATTTTGATTTTTTTCAGTTTTATTGAGAAATAATTGACATACATCACTATATAAGGTTTAAGGTGTATATAGCACGATGGTCTGACTTACATATATTGTGAAATGATGACCAAAGGAGGTTTAGCTAACATCCATCATCTCATATAGATACAATAAAAGAAGACATGTTTTTCTGCTTATGATGAGAACTCTCAGGATCCACTCTCTTAACTTCTGATTAATTGTCACATGTCACTGCAGGCTTACATTTCTGAACTACTTCCTAGGTTTAGACCTATTTTCTTCAACAAACAATAGACACATTAGATGCTAATACTGTAATCTCCAATTTGCAAACCCGATTTAACACCCAGTATTAATTATGTACCTACTCTAGGCCAGATGCTATATTTGCCACTGGAGATAGAAGAGGGAACAAAATCAGTCTCACTCATACTCTCATGGGCTTCAGAAACTAGTGAAACCAAAAAATATAGTATACTGTTCAAGACATGAAGGATTCACAGCCCAAGACTCAGTACTATTTGATGTAGCCGCTCTGTGTTAAAATAATTTTTTCTGGATGTTTATATGACTCTCATTAGGAATTATGTACTAAGCAGACCTCATGCTTTGAAATGTTTACTGTTATAATTTAAACTTTGTTACAAGAGTTTGTCTAGAAGCCATCATCACTAGCAAAGCATGATGTCAAACTTCTCTGTGACAAAAAAGTGAATTTCATTTAAACTAAAAAGTATATGCGCACCAAAAGTCACACACACATCATTTCCTATGACAATGTAGGAAATATTCTCAAAGATTAAGATATTCTTTTTGTTTATGTTTAAATCACTGTAGGTATCTGATCTTCAAACAAACAAAATTTTAAACTTACCATTTGTAAACTACAGGCCAGATTTCAATTTTCACCAGTGTAATTTATGCTCTTTATGCATTTGGTCCATTTACTGCTCTTTGAGAACTGGTGAAAAATGAATAAACTCACAATGCTCTGAATTTTGTCGTTGCTATGTTTCACTTAACTGGGAATTGTTTTAATTTGCCAAACTGTGAATTAGGCTATAAAGTAGTTAGAAACTCAGGTAAGAGGAGGTGAGTTTTACATTTTGGGTCAGTTTGGAGGTCTAAGTACTCTCTAAAAATCAATCTATCCTCTTCATATCTTAAATTACAGGCATGATATTGTGTGCTTCTTCCAATTTTTCTCTGAATAGCTTATCACCTATTTTTCTCCTCCAGAAGGAGCAAATTTATAAACCATAGGCTCCTTAAAAACACCCAAAATAATATCTGAATTATGTATCATCATCTTCAATGCACTAAGCTTTCCCGAATAAACAAAATCGACTTCATCAGTAGGTTTATCAACTATCAACCTGGTTGGGTATGTTTCCTTCAGAGCAGTTCTTCACACTAACACACTGGAGCTAAGTTCTCTTTCTAGTCCATGCTACCTGTAAAACACAGGTGTGAAGTATATTGGACAACTAAATTTGCTGTCCAGTATCCATTCCCCTTCTTTCAGATAACAGGAACTTGAATACCCTTTGGGAAAATACTACTCCCTCATTCCAAGCCATGGGGTTGGATGGAACTGATCTCATTCCCAGTAACTGAGGTAGACTCTGATTAACATAAGTGAGTTAGTCTGTACCATCCAGCTGTCCACAGAGACTGTTTCAGTGATGAACACGTAACTCAATAAGAGCCAATAGCACAGAAAGCTCTCACTCATCCTCTAGTCTTGGATGTGGGAGGATGTGAGACCGCATCTTGACATCTTAACGGGAAGCTGTCTGAGGATGAGGTTACAGATGGATGCTAAGAACACTATGTGAGCCCTTGTACAAGTACGACAAAAGTCAGTCATCTGGGGCTTCCCTGGTGGCGCAGTGCTTGAGAGTCCGCCTGCCGATGCAGGAGACGCGGGTTCGTGCCCCGTTTCGGGAGGATCCCACGTGCCGCGGGGCGGCTGGGCCCGTGAGCCATGGCCGCTGGGCCTGCGCGTCCGGAGCCTGTGCTCCGCAAATGGGAGAGGCCACGACAGTGAGAGGCCCGCATAACGCAAGAAAAAAAAAAAAAAAGTCAGTCATCTGAACCCCCAAATTCCCTTTTTTAAAATAGCTGAAGCCATCTAGAGTGAAGTTTTCCATCACATACAACATAAGGAATGGCATATCTCAGTGATTACAACACCTTGTATCAGAGAAAAACAAGCAAGTAACATACAAACCAAAAATTCAGCAGTTACATTCTTCCCCCAGAGAAACAGAACAATGGACCTAATACCTCAAATCTCTGATTGCTGACTTTCTTTCCTTTTTTGTTCCAGACAATTTTAGGTCTTGGGTCTCCTGTCGCTTGGCAAATGAAAGAGGCAACTCCACCAGAGACCCCTGTCTGGTCAACGGGAGTTCGTGTAAACCTTGGAGGTGCTGAAATAAAAAGAAATAAATATCACAATTAGATGGAAGGTGGAAACACAGACTATAACCCCACTGCCACTGCTCTCTCCAGAGCCCTCAACCTATTTCAGTCAATACATACATACATACACATATACAAGGATTATAAAATTAGGAAAGCACCTTTTACATTTGAGAGTAGTTAAAAGGGGAGGGAGGTAACTTTCTGGTGAAGTTATCTGCTAGTGCTTTTATTGCTGAAATCCGTATTATGGCAGAGATGCAATAACATTTGTTAAGCAACATCACACATTAATTTTTACTACCAGTATTAAAAAAAAATCCAATTTGTCCTCTGTAACAAAATGAGCTCATCAATCAAAGTGAGTAAAATTTTAGCTCTTTGCTTTGATGCCGCTATCAGGACATTGCCAGAAAGCAGCAGTGCCACTATTAAAATTAGTGACATTTAAGAGAAATTCTAGGAAATTTTAAAGAGACAAGAAATACAGCCCTGAGTTAGACGGTTTGGCAAGAAATAGAAATAGGATAATATGGTAAAGTGACTCTAACCCAGATATTGTGTGCTGCCTTACTTTCAACTTAACTCCACAATCTGCATAAAAAGATGAGTCAAGAAGCCTCCAAAGTCATAGCCAAAAAAGAATTTCTGTAAAGAAAGATGTAGACTTCAAGATTCCTAAGGACGAAAGGCTAACAGTTGGAGGTTTCTGAAATGTCCTCTGTCTCCTTTAAATGTTCCTAACATACACTTTCCCTCTTAAAAGCCTGCTTGTTATCCACCTGGTATTTCCGAATCTAGAAATCTATTATATGAAAATTATATAAAATGTAGACAAATACTTATGGACGAAGATATTAACCATATATTTTATTTACAAAGATCATAAGTACTCAAAACATCAATTATTATCGGAATTGATGGTGAGATAAACTGGCATAATGATGCAACATCACACAAACAGTAAATGTTGTTAATTATAAAGTTTTTATTATATGCCACGAGAAATACTTATGACTCAATGGTAAGCCACGAAAGCATCACACAAAATTACAGATGAGAGATATCAGGTAAAGAAAAGGCACCCCAAAAAGGATAGGACAAAATATGCTGAAACATTAACGATGGTGGTTTGGGAGAAGGTACTTTAATGAATTTTCCTACTCCTCACATTTTCTTGCTTGAGTTTTGACAATTACGTTATAGCTGGACATTTTTTAAACTCAAAAACATTTTACTTTCCCATTTTATTTTCTATTTTCTTACCCCTATTAGAAATTTTCTCTTCCCTCCGGCCATTTGTCAGTGATACGTCACTGAAACAAGGTTTTAGTAACCATGGCTAAAGTTTATTTTGAAAACCATCCTTAGATTCTAAGTAAGAAGAAAATAGCAAAGTTCATCATTGTTTGCTCATCACCAGTATTTTCTCTGCCTTGTTTTCATGTTTCCCCTGTGATGCTCCTGCTGGCCTGATGGTATGTGTCCTGACCCTCATCTTGATTTTCCTGGAGTCAGGGAAGCCAGATTTCCTTCTCAGCTCCACCATCTTGTACGTGTAACATCTTGAGGGGGTGCCTAACTTTCCTGTCTCTTAACTGTAAAGATATGAAATGTGAAATAAATTATTTTGCAGAGATCCCTTCCAGTTTTAAGGTATTAACTTCCACGATGAGGGAAAGAAGGGAGAAGAGAGGTGAGTGGTATCTTTGTAATGCTGATGCTGGGAAATGAGTCTCCACTTCATCAGGAAATTCAACTTGGTGATAGTAGAACTGGTGAAAACCCAGGTACCTGTTTGTTCAGAAACCCTAGGAAGGAAAGTGGGCTCTAAAAACGCTGCTAGATATCACATCCAACAGCATCTCAGGGTACCAATACAAACTGGACGATTACCAGAACTGTGAGCAATGTTTAAAATGATTTGAAATCGATTAACAGTGAGAGGAATAAAATACGCAGTACACTGATGTCACTTTTCTGTCACAAACAAAAAAGATATTAAAAGTTTTTATGTTTTTCATTCTGCTGTTGCAAACAATGCAAATTGATAATAACCACTCACTTGTCAGCATCTAAATGGAAATTATAATTATGAAATTAAAATTCCTAGGAGTTTCCCTGGAAAAACAAAATGTATTGCATTGCTATTTTAAGTGGTACAACACTGTCATTTTTAGGTACTTTCCTTTTTAAAGTCCATAGCTTAAAAATTGTCAACCCTAAAGGAAAATGAATTTTAACAACCCAGCTTCCCATTTAAGTTCTGTTTTGAAATTTCTCACAAGAATGTATGGACTGGGTGGAGGGCTGTTGCATAAAATGACTATGTACTAATCAGAAATTAAATAAACAAAGAAGGTAGGATGCCATTTTTGATGCACTGGGATTTTTTTTTAAGGGAAAGTATCCTATTTCTCATCCTAAAGAATGAAGGAAAAGTGGAGATTCTGACAATCTGCAAATAGGCAACAGTTACTCGGGAAAGTGCTTCCTAAATACTGAGTGGGGACAGTAAGAAGTCGAATTAATATAAAACCTAGAAGTCTTATTTCTAAGTGGAACGCATAGGAGGCAAGTTCCCATGTTCTCAAAAAGGGATGCAACTATCATTCCAATGTTCAGATGTGTTTTTCTTTTATCTTCATTTTCTGGTCATACCTTACAGTTCTCATACAAACACTGACAGGTTTAAAGATATGACCACTGCATGCTACTGCAAGGATCTTTTCTTTTTTTTAAACTTAATTGATAATTTTACTTTTTAAAAATTTTTATAGGAGTATAGTTGATTTGCAATGTTGTGTTAGTTTCAGGTGTACAGCAAAGTGAATCAGTTATACATATATGTATATCCACTCTTTTTCCATTCTTTTCCTATACAGGCCATTACAGAGTACTGAGTAGAGTCCTGTAAGGATTTTATTTCTGAAGATGAAGTCAAGTAATAGAATTAACCTAATGAACTGTGGAAGATTTATTGAAATAACCAGTTAGGATCTGTTTCAGATCTGGGACTGTTTTTCTAAATCCCACTACACCCCACTGTAGTAGTGACTCAGTATTCTTCAAAAAAGCAGCCCGAAAAGGGTCCTTAAATTTATTCTTTAAAAACAAACACAAAAAAATGAAATTGATCATGTTACATTTTTTAAAGGCATATCAATTATTTGTACACAGGTTTTTTTTAATTTTTAAATTTTTTTCTAAATATGTGTTTAAAAAAATAGCCTTCACAGACAAGAAAATCATGACTTTCTTATGATGTCAATTTTTCTACATTTGTCAACCAACTCCAAACCATGGAAAGGATAAATGCCATTACTCTATGATGCAAGGTTAACACTCTAGATAATATAGTAAAATCCTTTCAGTGAGCATGCTTGTTGCATAAATAATCATCTTGGCTGGTCAGACGCTAACAGTGATGCTGTCAATGCCAGGCAGATGGCCAAAGGAAACAGATGAGAAAGAAAGAAGACTAAACGTAACTCCAACAAATGCTAGAAGCAAGTAAGAATCTTCATTCCCAGAGGGGTCTAACAACACATAGCACCCACTCCCCCTTGTCTGTATCTCAGTTTAATAGAAGAAACTAAATGAGTCTTCTGCCTTCTTTTGTCAAGGGTATGTCCACATTTAAGTCATGCTCTGAAGATGGGAAGAAAGAGAAGAGAACCCATGTAAAAGAATAAAACAAAGACTTCCACTACACAGTCACACAATAGGACAGCCTCAGGTCTTAATAATCAAAGTTCCCATGATTATCCCATGAGATACAACCATAAATATTACGCTTGGTTTAAGAAAATAAAGAACTATCAGGAATATAAAGACAGAGAGAAAGACATTAAAACTTTACAGTCACCAATACTCAGATAAGTACCCTTCCATTATTGTAGCTAACTGCCATTGCTATCCACCTAGAGCTGCCAACATTGTGCTTTGCAAAATGCATTTCTGCTCAAGCTGGTTTTGACAGGTAAGGAGCATGACCTTTTATTAAACTAATGCCAGGCAGAGGTCAGATTACTGTTAGACCCAGAAAGTCTATTTTCTAAATGGAAAATAGAGAAGCTAAACATGCATATGAGTCAGAACAGAGGCATGCTGGATATTCTAAAATGCGTCTGCCATGCTCACGTGCTGTTCAAAGACTGCATTCTCAGGATGCATTCACAGAGCAGACAGGAGCTCCAGGAATCAAGTAGATTATTATTTCCTACACAGCTTGAGAGGAGCCACAGGCTGCTGATTGATTTTTCCTTCTAAGAGGTTAGATTGCTTCTTACAGGTATAAGCAATGCACAGTACCTTTAATGTAATGACTGTAATATTTTGATGCCATATCAGGTGTCAAGTTGCTAGGCTTTCTGAAGACAAGATGATAAGCCCAAAGAGCACATAAGGTGATTAAATTCAGGGGACAAAACGTGCCAAGACCAGCAAATTGCCTTTGACCATCCTTAACAAACTGCTCTATCAAAGACATAAACCTTCCTTGAGTACACTACATTAAGTAGAACCAGACATTAAGTGAGGAGAACCATTGACGTCCACTGGTAGCAGCAATGGAAGAAAGGGATTTACGAGAAATTCTTAAAGGTTAAGAAGACGATTCAGGTTTGTGCGAGCTTGACTGGCCAACTGAGAATCACTTAAAACACGTCCCTGGAAAGGACCACATGCTACAAAAGTGAAGAGATGAAATGATGGTGCCGTTTGCCTAATTTAATTCTAATGAATAAGCCACTTCTGCAGACATCAAGGAAATATGTTGCACTGGGGAACAAAATTAACAGCATGTAAATACTTGGCTTTGTTTCTTTCAGCTGATTAACATTTCCTTAAAGAGAGAGTTTTGATTCTAAAGGGATATTTGTCACAATAACGTACTTAAAATCTTGAAAGGGGCAGGTTAATAAAGTTATTAAACGATACTGAGGGAGAGGATGAGGAAATGTTCAATAAAAATATATAGGTAGTCTTGTCTTTAGGAATCTGCTTC